ATAACTGTCTGGTTCAGCTCAGCTACCAAATCTGACCTCAGAAGACTTCAGAGGGTAGTCCGGACTGCTGAGCGAATCATTGGTACAACCTCCCTTCTCTCCAAGAACTGCACTTATCCAGAGTGAGCAAAAGGGCTGGCAGAATCACTCTGGACCCCTCACATCCAGCACACTCCCTCTTTGAACTGTTGCCATCTGGTCGACGCTACAGAGCACTGAGCACCAGAACGACCAGACACAGGAACAGTTTCTTCCCTCAGGCAATCCATCTCATGAACGCTTAACAATAACTGTGGAACACACACTATTTATACACTCATACACTTATTTATCTAACATTCATACTCGGTCTACACCTAAAATTTGCACATAATATACAGTACATGTACATACAAAACTGTCTATTGTAATATACCTGCACATACAATTGTCGATTTACTGTATATATTTTTATTCCTTATTTACTTGTTCTATTTTTAATTTTTTATTATCTGTGTTTTTTTGTTCTGTCACTGTCATTCTGTTACACTGTGGAAGCTTCTGTCACGAAAACAAATGCTGCCCGGCGGGTCATGGGAATAACGCCGCCGGATCGCGGATCGGCATCGTTTACGGTCGGAACTATGACGGTATCTGATCGTCTTCGAACCTCCAACTTTCGTTCTTGATTAATGAAAACATTCTTGGCAAATGCTTTCGCTTTAACTGAGATTCCAAGCTTTATAAAGCAAGCATATTCTGAAGCACTCATTTCGAGTCATTTCGCGATTTTTTTTTATTTCAGAATTGTTCAGCAAATAAACACACACACGCATACATATAAAACTGAGATTCCAAACTTTATATTGATATCAATTACTTAACTGTAGCCGCAGATTTGGCCGAATTGAATATTTTTGTTGGAATTCGGTATTTTTCAACACGTGTTGAATTCACCAGATTTCACTACTTTTACAATTCAGTCACTGATTAATTTTTTTTAAACTACTTCACTTTAATATTAGTTTAATATGTATATATATATATATATATATTTATTTACTTAACAACCCAGTTTTATATATATTTATTTATTTACTTAACACCCTATTTATGAAGCACTGAGTCATTTCGCTGTTTTTCTCTTTTCCAAGCTTTATATTGATATAAATTACTTAATTGTAGCTGCAGATTTGACCGAATTAAATATTCGTTGGAATTTGGTGTTTTTCAACACGTGTTGAATTCACCAGATTTCACTACTTTTCAATTTCATACACTGATTTTCTCACACAAAAAAGGACAGATTTGCATTGTGCTAAGCAGATATGTATATGTTCTGACCCACAGGAAAAATGAGCAGCAGTGTGGACAGTGGGGTGGAGGTCCATGGTGGCAGCAGTATTGTAAGTACTAATATAAATCCAATACAATTCTTCATAATATAAAAATAGTAATTCATTTTTCATAATTAATTTTTTTATGTTTTTCCATAGGCCACTACGGTAATAATAAGCTGTACAGTAAGTTTATACTTGTCTTTAAGCTATGCATACATTTTTACACTGTGATAATTAAATTATGTTAGGTTGGACAGCTGTTGTGTTGTGCTGTTTTGCAGGACACCGAGTATAGCTCATCAGGAGAGGAGGGACCCCCAAATGTTCCTCCTCCTCCTCTTCCCCCAGTAGCTCCACCTTCACCTCCACCACCGCCGCCGCTGCCCTCCCCAGTACATCGTCCTGCTCCTCAGGAAGAGCATGAAGAAGATGTAATGTATAGATTTATTGTGCCCTCTATAACTATGTAGTGTATTTGTGAACGTTTTGTGCATTTTTTTTTCCTCCTCTCTGTGGTATTTCGCAGATGATGAGGAGGAGGAGCAGCAAGAACAGGAGGGATTTTTTGTTTTTTATACTTTTTAATAAATAGTTTTTCAATTAATAGCTCTTATTATTGTCTTCTCATACCTTGTGTTTCATCTGCATGGATTTGTAGAAATAAAAATAAAACACATTAAAAATATAAGTGAGAAAAAAAATTAACTTACGACAAATCTCTAGTGTGAGCACAGCCTCTGAAATAGGGCAAACATTTTCTGAAGCACTGAGTCTGTTACGGGGCGAACGAGATGTGAGACGTGCGGATCCATCTGCAAAGCTTTTATTTAAAGGCGTGATCATATAGCAGGCAAGGTTCTGACAATGGCAAACAGGTATATTGAGGGCAAGACAAAAGAGTAATCCAAACTCTTCAGTCGACAGTCAGTCGCGAGTCAGTCGACAGCGAATGTTATCCAGAGGGCTTGACAAGAGGGGAAATCCAATAACACGAGCAATAGTCCAGGCGAGGTGCAAACAGAGTCCGAAACAGAAAGACAAAGGGTTAATCCAAGATAAACAGGCAAGAATCAGGTAACACAGGAAAGCAGGCAAAACAAGACTGACTACGAACTATGGACTGGAAACTAGGGCAGAAAACTGGCTCCGAAGTGTGCTACCACTAGGAGAGCGATATACACAAACAATACTCGGCATGTGTAATAGCTTTCAGGTGAGTGTATGATTGTTTTAGCTGTGTGCAAGAGGTACAATGGATGATGGGAAATGTAGTCCAGGGTATAGTGTAACAGTCTGTGTAGTGTGAGAGTCCATGTAGTGAGTGGGTGACCTCTGGTGGTGAGTGAACGGAAGTTCATAGACCGGATTCGTGACAGAGTTATCCACTGTGTGTTTTTTATTTTTTATTTCAGAATTGTTCAGCACACACACATTGTAATGCTATACACAGAAGCATATTATTAAATACTATTTGAATATTAATTGCTTTTATTTCAATTTAAATAGTTTTTATTTAAATATGTGACCAAGGCACCACCTAACCATGTTTTTACTTTTTTATTTAGTTTTTTATTTTATTTAGTTATTTTTATATATTCTGTGTGTTTGTGTGTGTTTGTGTGTGTGTGTGTGTGTGTGTGTGTGTGTTTTATTAGATTTGTTGAGAAATATTTTTTTCACACTTTATATAGCACAAGTTTAATTAATTGTTATTTACTTTTTTACGTCATTTTTATCAATTTACTAGTTGTGTGTGTGTTATATTAAATGGTTGTTGAAAACATTTTGTTTGCACCTTAACTGATTGAAGTCAACCATTCTACTCATTAGATTAATCAAAATGGACACCAAAATAGATTTACTAAGACAAAACAAGGCAGCATTGGAAATTGCTCTTTATTTGAAAGAGTGGGTGGCTCTGAAAAGAGCCATTTGCTGGCTCTTACAAGCTCGACCTGAAGGCCCTCTGTGAGGTTGCTGAGGAAAAGATGGTTTCCCTCATGGCTCAGGTGGACTCCATCTTTGATCAGATGACGCAAGCTGATGTTGCAGTGAGGAATGCAGTGCATGCCTCTTTCTGACAGGAACCCAGACATGGTTCCGTTGACCCACCACCAGCTTCTCTCGATGCCGTAGGTGGTCCTCCTGGTCTGACCTCTCAAGTTCAGACGTGGCAGAATGTCAGAAAACAGGACCCTGGTTTTGGGATGCATCTTAAAGACCCTGGTCAGGTCAGCCTTCATTTCCCGAAGGAAATCCAGGCGGTTCTGGCCCTCGAGACACAAGCTGTTTCCACCGAGATGGATTAGCAAAATCTGAGGAGCTGGACCGCTAGCTCTGAGAGACCGCAGGGTTGGAAGTAGATGCTCCCAGAGCCTGCCTCCTCTGCCTTACCAGGTGACTTCGCAGGGCAGACCAAGGTTGATGTCGAGCTGCTGCTCACAGAGGTAAGCTTGCAGCCTACGGATGTAGGAGCTTCCAATGATCCAGACACGTGGCACACAATGCTCTGTCATCTCTCCAGAAAGAGTGTGGGGCTGTCTTTGCCTCCAGTATTTATGCTGCAGTTGGCCGTGTGGGCGTCTGCTGCCAGAGCCCACCAATGCTGTGCTAGATGTGTGTAGCCACTCCCCTTTTCCCCACCACAGGCCATTCGCAGGAAATACTGAGAGAAAAAGTTCACCTGTCACATAACATTTTGGCTTAATTTTTCAGTATAGTAAGCAGTTTGAAACATTATGAGGTCAACATATTCTGTGAGTATATGTCAGCATATGTGTATAGATTTATGACCTATCACACAACTACTTTAGAAGGCATGCCAAAGAAATATGTGCTGAAGGAACTGTCTCAACAGACCCCTTAGTAGCAACACCCTGTTAAGTAGGTATCCAGAGGATACATAGAAGGAGCTGTGCCCAAGGTGGAACCGGGGTGACCATCTTACTGATGGTCCGGTCTAGAGGCTTCTCCGGACAGAGCTCCGACGCGGGAACCATGGTGGGTCAGTACGATCCATGTCTAATGTATGTATATATGAATATATATGTGTATATAATGAGACTGGTGGTTGTGTGTATAACCCTTCTGCTCGTTTCGGACACATAATCGTGAGCTTCGGTGCTTCAGGTACGTTCATATTTGCCACATTTTTTAAATTCCATGCATTTCTCACCTGCGCCAGCGTGCATGCTGACCCACGGGTTGCCCAGGACGCAGAAAAGTTGAGGATAGCGTTGAGAGCAAAATCGGCAATGTGTGGCGGAGCCTAAAGTCAAAAGATGGCGTTTTTTTTTTATCCGGTCTTTCATGCCAAAAATGTGGCATGAACGTGCACCTTAGCAATGAAGGAAATGAAACAAGAGCGGAACGGCAGAGGCACGGTTGCGGGACGTCCCGCCAGCAAGGCAGAGTGGAAAACTGGATGGCCGATGGGCGTAAAAGTTGTGAAAAATGACAAAATTGGCAAACAGAGTGCGGCACGTCAGCCCTTTACGTCCACAATATGCAAAACAGGGCGAAAGGGGGTGAGGGCACACGTAACTCATGGGTTGTGCGGCAACAACACATGGGTAACAGCGGTAACCGCTCGGTAATAGAGTCAGGCTCATTGCCAGCAGTAACCAATTGCTACAATTCAAAATGATAATGTCTGACTTCCAAAAAGGTTTTTCCCAATGTTATGTTTCTGTGATTGTAGCAACTCATAGTGTAATAACTGCACATAATGGAAAAAATGCACATAATGTAATAAGTATTGCACTATTATTGTAATAAAATGTTCATAATGTCATAATTTTCTCAAAACTTTTCTCATAATATAATAATAATATTTTAATGTAATAACAAATTTTTCACATAATATAGTAGGTTATTGTATGAGAAATATATTACATTGTAAACACTGTGGCAACTTATAATCTAATCACAGTTCATAAGGTAATACCAGCACATAATTTAAATTAATGTTTAAAATATTATAATTATCACATAACACAAAAAGAAACTTGTCTTTGGCTTATTATTCACTATAATACTATTACTGTAGCTGTTTATTATAATTATATTTAACAAGTCTTCTTATTATTATACTTATACCGATTATACTCATTTATAATTCATATTCATATTTTTAGGTTTTTTCTCCATTCTCTGATGTGTTCTAACAACATTAGAATTCTGGAATCCAGAGTATTTTGATACTTGAATAAAAACAATGAGAGCCATGAGAGCATCCGTACTGTAATTGGTCCTGTGCTCTACCCTTTGGTTTAGCAATGTAAAAGGGCATGGAAATATTTTAATTTTTAAAAAGCCTATTACAATTATGAAATTTGACAATATTTTTGGTGAGTTTATAATGTAATACATTTTTCATAATGTAATAATTGTTATTACATTATGAGTTCAAGATTTTAGTACGTTTTGAGAAAATTATGTGCACTTTTTAAATTATGAGTTGCTACAGTGATGTTAACTTTTTTCCGGAAGAAGCTCATTGCCAGCAGTAACAGGTGCAATTCCATCGATGATGTCTGGCTTCCAATTAGGCTGTTACCACTGTTATGTTTCTGTGATGTACACTTTTTCCTGAAGAAACTCATTGCCAGCAGTAACCAGGTGCAATTCTATCAATGATATATGGCTTCCAAAAAGGCTGTTCCCACTGTTATGTTTCTGTGATGTACACTTTTTCCTGAAGAAACTCATTGCCAGCAGTAACCAGGTGCAATTCTATCAATGATATATGGCTTCCAAAAAGGCTGTTCCCACTGTTATGTTTCTGTGATGTACACTTTTTCCTGAAGAAACTCATTGCCAGCAGTAACCAGGTGCAATTCTATCAATGATATATGGCTTCCAAAAAGGCTGTTCCCACTGTTATGTTTCTGTGATGTACACTTTTTCCTGAAGAAACTCATTGCCAGCAGTAACCAGGTGCAATTCTATCAATGATATATGGCTTCCAAAAAGGCTGTTCCCACTGTTATGTTTCTGTGATGTACACTTTTTCCTGAAGAAACTCATTGCCAGCAGTAACCAGGTGCAATTCCGATGATGATGTCTGACTTCCAAAATGGCTGTTCACAGACACATTTAACTGTTGCGACTGACGTTTTGGAAGCCAGACAAAATCATTGAAATTGTATGTCGTTACATTGCTGATAATAAGTTTCTTCAGGGAAAAATGTACATCACAGAAACAGTATAACAGCTTTTAACAGTATAACAGTATTAATCTTTGACTTAATATTCACTATAATACTATTACTGTAGCTGTTTATTATAATTACATTTAACATGTCTTCTTATTATACCTAATACCGATTATACGCATTTATAATTCATGTTCATATTTTTAGGTGTTTTTTCTCCATTTTCTGATGTGTTCTAACAACATTAGAATTCTGGAATTCAGAGTATTTTGATACTTGAATAAAAACAATGAGAGCCACGAGAGCATCCGTAATGTAGTTGGTACTGTGCTCTACCCTT